TGATGTAGTCCCATTTGTTTATATATATATATTTGTTATCCTTGTCTGGGGAGATATATCTGATAAAACATTGCTATGAACATTGTCCAAGATTTTGTTGCCATTGTTTTCTTCTACAATTTTTATGGTTACAGATCTAACATTTAAGTCTTTAATCCATTTTGAATTTATACTTGTGTGTGGGATAAGAACATGATCTAGTTTCACTTTTCTGCATATATCTGTCCAATTTTCCCAACACCATTTATTGAATGTTTAGCCCATTGTATGTGCTTGCTTCCTCTGTCAAATATTAATTGCTGATACAGATGTGGGTTTATTTCTGGGCTCTGTGTTTATTTATTTATTTTTAGAGAGAGAAGGGAGGGAGATTGACCTATGTGCCTGTTTTTATGTTAGTACCATGCTGTTTTGATTATTATGGCCTTATAGTGTAGTTTGATATTAGGTAGCATGATTCCTCTTTGTTCTTTCTCAGGATCACTGTTGCTATGTGGGGTCTTTGTTGTTCCATATAAATTTTTGAAATATTTTCCTAGTTCTATGAAATACTGTATTCTGCCATGTATAATGCACACCTTTTTTTGCCCACATTTTTGAGGGAAAAATAAGGATGCACATTATACATGGGTATAGTGGTTACATATCATGGGTATAATAATGAGTATAATAACCCCATGTATAATGTGCACAAGATGTGGCTGCACATTATACATGGGAGTGTATCATACATGACCAAATTCAGTACATGATTGGAATCTTCATAGGAATTGTGTTGAACTTACAGAATGCTTTGGGTAGTACGGACATTTTAATGATGTTACTTTTTCTTATCCATTAACAGAGTATGTGTTCCTATCCATTAACAGTTATTTGTGTCCTCTTTAATTTCTTTCTTCATTGTTTAATAATTTTCTAAGTGCAGGTCTTTAACATCCTTGGTTAGGTTTATTCCTAGCTATTTTATTGAAGGCTCTTTTTGAAGCAATTGGGAATAGAATTTTTTTCTTAATTTCCCTTTCTGTTAGTTTGTTATTGACATATAAAAATGCAACTGATATCTGGATCTTAATTTTGTATCCTGCTCTTTGCTGGATCACTTATCAGTTCCAGTAGTTTCTTGGTGGAATAATTGGAGTTCTCTATGTATAGTATCATGTCATATGCAAGTAAAGACAATTTTGCTTCTTCCTTTCCAGTTAGGATGCCTTTTAATTCTTTTTTTTTTTGTCTGATTGCTGTGGTTAGGACTTCCAGTATAATGTTGAATAAGAGAGGTGAAAGCAGACATCATGGTCTTGTTTCAGATCTTAAGGGGAACATTTGTAGTTTTTGATCATTGAGTATGATGCAGGCAGTGGGTTTGTCATACATGGCCTTCACTATGTTTAGTTATATTCCCTCTTTCCTACTTTGCTGAGAGTTTTTATCATAAATGGTTGGCGGATTTAATCAAATACTTCCTCTGCCTCTACTGATATGATCATGTGGTTTTTATCCTTCATTTGTTTATGTGGTGAATCACATTTATTGATTCGCAAATATTGTACCAACCTTGTATTCCGAGAATAAATCCCATTTGGTCATGGTGTATGATCTTTTTGATAAATTGCTGTATCCAGTTTGCTAATATTTTGTTGAAGATTTTAGTATCTATGTTCATGAGGGATATATGCCTATAATTTTCTTTTTTATAGTATCTTTATTTGATTTTGGAATTAGGAATGTGCTGGCCATGTAAAATGAGCTTGGAGCTGTCATTCCTCTTAAATTTTTGAAGTTGTGTGAGAAGGAGAGGTGTTAGTTCTCGAAATGTTGGTTAAAACTTTCCTATGAAGCCATCCAGTTCAGGGCTTTTGCTTGTTGGTAGTTTTTGGATTACTGCTTCAATTTACTAGGTGCAATCTGTTTGATTCTTCCTGATTTAGTGTTGGAAGATAGTATGTTTCTAGGAATTTATCCATTTCATCCAGGTTATCCAGTTTGTTGGAATATAGTTGTTCATAAAATTTTCTTACAATCCTTTGAATTCCCTTGGTCAATTGTTACTTCTCTTTCATTTCTGATTTTATTTATTTGGGTCCTCTCCCTTATTTTTTTTAATGAGTCCGGTTAAAGGTTTGTTAATCTTATTTACCTTAAAAAAAAGCAGCTATTGGATTCATTGATATTTTGTACCAGTTTTTAGACTATTTTGTTTATTTCTGCTCTGATTTTTATTATCCTCCCTTTTCTACTTCCTTTAGGTGTTTGTTGTTCTGTTTCAAGTTCCTTTAAGTGTGAAGTTAGATTATTTGTGCCTTTTCTTTCTTTCTTTTTTTTTTTTTAGAGAGGTCAGTGGTGCTATGAATTTCCCTTTTTGAATTGCTTTCCCAATGTCCCACAGATTTTGGATTGTCATGTTCTCACTTTCATTTGCTTCATGGTATCTTTTGTCTTGTTGTTGACCCATGCATTGTTTAATAACATGTTATTTGGCTTCCATGTCTTTGTGTCTATTTTGTTGGATACAGTATTGCTACTACTCTAGCTTTTTTCCCTTCAATTTTCATGAAATATCTTTTCCATGTCTTTACTTTCACTCTGTGTGTATCTTTTGATCTGTGGTTGGTTTCTTGGAAGCAGTATATATATATAGGTCTTGTTTTCTTATCCTTTCAGCTACCCTATGTCTGTTGGTTGGGGCATTTAAGCCATTTACATTTAAGATGATTATTGATAGATACATATTTATGCCATTTTATTGTTAGACTGTTTTCCTCTATTTTTTTTTCTTTCTCTTCTTTTTCTTCTTAAAGCAAGTCCTTTAACAATTGCTGCAGTACTGGTTTGGTGTTAACAAACTCCTTTAGCTTTTTCTTGCCTGGGAAGCCCCTTATTTCTCCTTCAATTTTAAATGATTGCCTTACTGGATACAGTAGCTTTGGTTGTATGTCCTTGTTTTTCATCATTTTGAATATTTCATGCCACTCCCTACTGGTCTGAAATGTTTCTGTTGAATAGTTAGATGAGTCTGATTGGTGATCTCTTTTATGTAACTACCTGCTTTTTCTCTTGCAACTTTTAAGATTCTCTCTTTGTCTTTAAGCCTTGCCATTTTGATTATAACGTGTCTTATTGTAGGCCTCTTTGGGTCCAACTTGCTTGGAACTCTCTGAGTTTCCTTAACTTATGTATCCTTTTCCTTCACCAGATTAGGGACGTTTTCAGTTATTGTTTCCTCAAATAGGTTCTCAATCCCTTGCTCACTCCCTTCTCCTTCTGGTATTCCCATGATGTGAATGTTGTTACTCTTCATGTTGTCTCAATGGTTTCATAAGCTCTACTAATTTTTTAATTTTTTTTCTTTTGGTGCTCTGTGTGTGTGTGTGTGTGTTTACCTTGTCTTCCAAATCATTGATACAATCCTCTGCTTCATCTGACCCAGTGTGTATTCTTTCCAGTTCATTATTTATTTCAAATCTTTCATTATTTATTTTTGACTGGTCCTTTTTTTATGGTTTCTGTGTCTTTTTTCATGCTGTTGAGTATGCTAATAATCTAATCATTCTTCTGAACTCTGTATCCAGAAATTGCTTGCCTACTTTTTATCTAGTTCTTCTTGTTTAGAATTCTCTTGTTTTTCCATTTGGGGGTTGTTTATTTGTCTTCGCATTTTAGTTGCCCTTTTGTGTTTGTTTCTATTTATTAGGTAGTTCTGCAAAGACTGTGATTCAGATATATGTCAAACACAGCCTGTGACTGGCCCTGGGCAACCAGTTTGAGCTTTCAGTGATTTAAAGCATGTGGCTCTATCTGATGTGCCTGTTTGTGTGCAAAAAGAACTAGACTGTGTACCAAGGCCAACTTTAATTAACACTGGGCCCAGGGGAGGGTTAGCTAAAGTATCTGATTTTCCAGAGATTTTCCTCTGCTTGCAGGCTTTCTGTTAGACTTAAAGAGTGAAAGTCTTCAGATGTACTTCTTCAGCAGGGCTTAAGTACCACTGGGTGGGGCAGAGTAATTTCTGTGGGTGGGGCTATTGCTCTTCTCAGGCAGATGTCCCTTGGAGGGGAGTGCTTTGTCTGAGAAAACTGGATCCTGCAGTATGGGGAATGACTCAGCACAGGGATCTTAGTGGCTGTTCCTTCAGTTTTCCCCAGAGCCACCAGCCCCAGACGCTCTTCATATGTCTCTACTTTGCCCTCCCTCTGCTGGAGCCCAGGGTGAGTGGCTACAAATGGAATTTTGTATGTTGGCCCTTTACGAGGCTCTGTGCATATTCACCTGTTTCTTTTTCATGGACAGAGACCCCGCTGCTTTTCACAGCCATAAATTAGTTTGGTTCTTCCCCCAGTTCTGGTGCTATAGACTGGGGAACCCAGCTGGAGGTTTAGACTACACACTTTTCAGGGGGAACCCCCTGGCTGATGGAATATCCCTCAGGACTATGGCTGCCACTCATGGGAGCTCAGCCAGCCCTCTTGCACCTCCTCTTTGCTCCCTGATAGTCACATATTGGTGTTGTGGCTTCTTTGGTCTGTCTGTGGTTATAAGGATTCTCTCCAGCTAGTGTTCATTTGGTTATTCAGCATGAATTTTCTATAATTTAGTTGTAATTAGAGTTTGGTCTTGGGAGGAGGTTAGTGTAGCTTCCACTTACTCCTCTGCTACCTTGGGTCTCATCTCTAACTTTTCTATCTAAACTGTTGAAAATATATTTGGTCCAGGTAGCCTAGATATTTTTTACATTTAACATAAGCAGAATCCATTTAATATCATAGTATCTACTGAAAATTTTAATAGCCATTATTTTATTGGCAATAATACTTCCAGGGGTTGACCAGATTCTTATGTTGATCTAACTCTACTTTGTAATTCTACTTCTTCTGTGATTTTCAGTACTATTACAAGATGAGGATCAATTTTGTTTACTGAAATTAGAATTTTACAATGTGGGGATTTATTGAATGTCTAGCAGTTTTTGAAGAAGTGTTATTCATATTCAACTCTTCCTTCAGCTTGCAGCTGTTTGTGATGTATTCGTGGAAAACTATGTTCCTGGCAAACTGTCTGCAATGGGCCTTGGATATGAAGATATAGACAAGATTGCTCCTCATATCGTCTATTGTTCCATCACAGGTATTTCAGTACCAGACCTTTGTCACTGAATAGATTTTCAAATATCTGTTTTTCTTTGTTTCTATAAGAACCCTCTTACTAGTGCTGGTTTTCTTGAAGCAATTTTGCTCTTCTTCCCCTCCCAGACATTTTAGGTTGCTGAAAATTAACCTTTAAACATTAACCTGAATAAACAGTTTTCATGTGTTATTGGGAATTTATATTTCTGTGAATTGTCTGTATATTTTTTGCTAATTTTTCTATTTGTTATTTCAGTCATTTCTTCTCTTTTTCTTTTTTCTTATTTTTTAGATTGTTGTTCAAGTACAGTTATCTCCATTTTCTCCCCACCACTCCTCCCCCACGCCAGCCATCCCCACGTCCCACTCTTAATCCTACCCTGTTTCACTTTGTCCATGTGTCCTTTGTACTAGTTCCTGACAACACCTCCCCTGTGGTTACTGTCAGTTCTTAATTTCAGTGTCTCTGGTTATATTTTGGTTGCTTGTTTATTTTGTTGATTAGGTTCCAGTAAAAGGTGAGATAATATGGTATTTGTCCCTCACCTCCTGGCTTATTTCACTTAGCATAATGCTCTCCAGTTCCATGCATGCTGTTGCAAAGGGTAGGAGCTCCTTCTTTCTTTCTGCTGCGTAGCATTCCTTCATGTAAATATACCATAGTTTTTTGATCTGTGCATTTCCTGATGGGCACATAGGTTGCTTCCATCACTTGGCTATTGTAAATTGTGCTGCTATGAACATTGGGGTACATAGGTTTTTTTGGATTGGCATTTCAGGGTTCCTGGGATATAATCCCAACAGTGGAATTGCTGGGTCAAAAGGCATTCCATTTCTAGTTTTCTGAGGAATCCCATACTGGTTTCCACAGTGGCTGCACCAGTCTGCAGTCCCACCAACAGTGCAGTAGGGTTCTTTTTTCTCCACATCCTCTCCAACACTTGTTTGTTGATTTGTTTATGAGGATCATTCTGACCAGTATGAAGTGATATCTCATTGTGGTTTTAACTTCCATCTCTCTGATGGCTAGTGATGCTGAGCTTCTTTTCACATGTCTCTGGGCCCTCTGTATGTTTTCCTTGGAGAATTGTCTGTTCAAGTCTTTTGCCCATTTTTTTAATTGGGTTTTTTTGTCTTCCTGGAGTAGAGTTGTGTGAGTTGTTTATATATTCTGGAGATCAAACCCTTGTCTGAGGTATCATTGGCAAATACGTTTTCCCATATAGTTGGTTCTGTTTTCATTTTAATGCTGTTTTCTTTAGCCATGCAGAAGCTTTTTAATTTGATGAGGTCCCATTTGTTTATTCTTTCCTTTATGTCCCTTGTTTTAGGGGACATATCCATGAAGATGTTGCTGCTTGGAATGTCTGAGATTTTCCTGCCAATGTTTTCCTCTAGGACTGTTATGGTGTCACGACTTATATTTAAGTCTTCTATCCACCTTGGATTTATTTTTGTGTGTGGTGTAAGTTGGTGATCGAGTTTCATCTTTTGCCTGTAGCTGTCCAGCTCTCCCAACACGATTTGTTGAAGAGGCTATTTTTACTTCATTTTATGCTTCTTTCCCCTCTGTCAAACATTAATTGACCATAGAGACTTGGGTTTATTTCTAGGCTGTGTGTTCTGTTTCATTGGTCCATGTGTCTGTTCTCATGCCAGTACCAGGCTGTTTTGATTACAGTGGCCTTGTAATACAGTTTGATGTCAGATATTGTGATATCTTTGTTCTTCTGTGTTCTTCTTTCTCAAAATTGCTGCAGCTGTTTGGGGTCATTTATGGTTCCATATAAATTTTGAAATGTTTGTTCTGTATTTGTGAAATATGTCACTGGTACTTTAATAGGGATTGCATTGAATTTCTTTGGGTAGTATGGATATTTTGATCATGTTAATTCTTCCAATCCATTATTGTGGTACATGCTTCTATTTGTTTGTGTCTTCCTTAATTTCTTTCTTCAGTGTTGTATAGTTTTCTGAGTACAGGTGTTTTACCTCTTTGGTTAGGTTTATTTCTAGGTACTTTATTTTTCTTGTTGCTATATCAAATGGGATTTTTCCCCTGATTTCTGTTTCTGATATTTCATTTTTTGTGTACACAAATGCCTTTGATTTCTGAATATTTGTATGCTGCTCTTTTGCCAAATTCACTTATTAGGTTGAACAGTTTTTTGGCAGAGTCTGTTGGAATTTCTATGTGCATTATCATGTCATCTCCAAACAACAAGTTTTGTTTCCTCTTTCCAATTTGGATGCCCTTTATTTCTTTGTCTTGTATTGTTGCAATGGCTAGGACTTCCAATACTTTGTTGCATAGGAGTGGTGAAAGCTGGCATCCTTGTCTTGTTCCTGATCTCAGTGGGAAAGCTCTAAGTTTTTGCCCATTGAATATGATGTTGACTGTAGGTGTTTCGTATATGGCCTTTATTATGTTGAGGAATGCTCCCTCTATTCTCACTTTGCCAAATGTTTTTGTCAAAAATGGGTGCTGTACCTTATCAAATCCTTTTTCCGCATCTATTGATATGATCGTGTGATTTTTTTCTTTCTTTTTGTGTATGTGATGTATTACATTTATTGATTTGCGAATGTTATACTATCCTTGCATCCCTGGGATGAATCCCAGTTGATCATGGTGTATGATCTTTAATGTATTGCTGGATGCAGTCTGCCAATATTTTTATGAGGATTTTCAGGTCTATGTTCATCAGTGATATTGGCTTGACGTTTTCTTTCTTTGTTAATATCTTTTTCTGGTTTTTGGAATTAGGACGATGCTGGCTTCATAAAAAGAATTGAGGAGTCTTCCATCTTCTTGGATTTTTTGGAATAATTTCTGAAGGGTAGGGGTTAGTTCATCCTTAAATGGTTTGTAAAATTCTGTGAAACTGTCTAGTTCCGGGGTTTTGTGTGTTGGGAGTTTTTTGATTACTGCTTCAGTTTCATGGGCAGTTATTGGTCTGTTCAGGCTTTCTGCTTCTTCTTCATTCATTTTTGTAATATTATATTTTTCTAGATACTTGTCCATTTCACCTAGGTTCTCAAATTTGTTGGCATATAGTTCTTCGGAGTAATTTCTTACAATCCTTTGTATTTCTGTGGTATCAGTTGTAATCTTTCCTCTTTCATTTCTAGTTGTGTTTACTTGGATCCTCGCTCTTTTTTTCCTTATGAGTTTGCTTAAAGGCTTGTTGATTTTGTTTATTTTTCCAAAGAACCAGCTCCTGGATTTATTGATTGTTAGAATTGTGCTTTTAGTCTCTGTCATGTTTAATTCTGTTCTGATCTTGGTTATTTCTTTCTTTGTTGTTGTTCCTCCAGTTCTTGTATGTGTAGGGTTAGATTGTTTATTTGAAATGTTTCTATTGTTTTTAGATAGTCCTGAACTTCTGAGAACTGTCTTCACTGTGTCCCATAAGTTTTGGATTTTTGTGAGTTCATTTTCATTTGTTTCCAGAAACTTTTTGATTTCTTCCCTAATTTCATTCTTGACCCTTTCATTGTTTAGTAGCATGGTATTCAGTCTCCATGAATTTGAGTGGTTTTGAGTGTTTTCCTTGAGCTTGGGTTTTAGTTTCAGTCCCTTTTTGTCAGAGAAAATGCTTGTTATGATTTCAGTTTTCATGAATTTTTTGTGCCTTGTTTTGTGTCCTGTCATGTGGTCTATCTTTGAAAATGTTCTATGTGCATTTTAAAAGAATGTATATTTTGCTTCTTTGGGATGAAAGGTTCTATATATATATCAGTTAAATCCGTTTGATTGATCCCGGACATTGTTCAATGCTGCAATATCTTTGCTAATACTTCGTTTGGAAGATGTATCCATTTTGACAATGGGGTGTTAAAATTCCTACTATAATTGTGTTGCTGTCAATATCTTTCTTGATATTCTTTATGTATTTGGGTGCTCCTATGTCTGGTGCACATATATTTACAATATTTGCCATACTTTTTTGACCATAAGACACACCTAGTTTTAGAGGAGGAAAATAGGAAAAAAAATTATGAAGCAAAATATATGGTATAATAACAGAACTAACATAATATTTCACCAATGTAAATGTAAACAGAACTCAACAGCAGCATTAACAACCATTATTCCTCCCAAATTTCCGGGTGTGGGGGGAGTGTGTCGTATAGTCTGAAAAACTCAGCATGTCTTCTTGATGTATTCTTTCTTTGAGTATTATGAAGTGACCTTCTGGGTCTTTTTCTGTTGCCCTTGTTTTGAAGTCTGTTTTGTCTGATATGAGTATTGCTACCTTGTTTTTTTTTCCCCTGGCCATTTTCTTGGAATATTTGTTTCTAGCCCTTCACTCTCAGTCTGCCTAGGTCTTTTGTTCTGAGGTGCATGTCTTGTTGGCAGTATGTGGATGGGTCATGATTTCTTATCCATTCAGCTATTCTATATCTTTTGATTGGAACATTTAATCCATTTATGTTTAAGGTTATTATTGAAAGGTACTTATTCTTGCCATTTTTTTGTACCTGTGTTCCTTCCTCTCTTTCTCACTCTTATTTTTCCTTTTCTTAAAGTAGACACTTTAGTATCTCTTAGAGGGCCTGTTCAGAGGAGGTGTATTCTTTTAGTCTTCTTTGGTCTGGGAAACTTCTTATTTGGTCTTCCGTTTTAATTGAGAGCCTTGTAGGCCTTTGTTTTTCATTACTTGGAACATTCCTTGCCATTCCCTTTTGGCTTGGAGCATTTCCATTGAGAAGTTAGCTGCTAGTCTTTTGGGGGCTCCCTTGTATATGTAACTTCCTGTTTCTCTCTTTGTCTTGGAATTTTGCCATTTTAATTATGATTTTTCTTGAATTGGGCCTCTTTTGGTTCCTCTTGATTGGGACTCTCTGTGTTTCCTGGATTTGTGTGACTTTTTCTATCATCAAATTTGGGAAATTTTCCATCATTATTTTTTCAAACAGGTTTTCTATCCCTCGCTCTTTTTCTTCTTTTTTTTGGTATCCCTGTTATATGGATATTATTATGTTTCATGTTGTCCT